AACAATTGAGCGTGCAAATTTTCTCTCCCATATGTAAGCATTTTCAATATAACACAAGCCGACTAACAATTGAATGAGAGTGTTTTCTATTATATGTAGTGATTTTTATATAACAAGATAAACTTGATCATTATTGAGCGAGAGAATTTTCTTTCACACATGTAATGCTTTTAGGTATTATTATAAAAGATAAGTTTGCTAACAATTGCGCAAAGAAATTCTCATATATATTGTTCTTCAAGTATATGACAAGCCAGATAACAATTAAGCGGCAGAAATTTCTCTCCCATACATGATGCTTTTAGGTATAAGATAAATTGGCTAAGAATTGAGTAGGATAATGTTCTCTCTCACATGTTAGCACTAATATAACTAAGAGTTTTTTACAAGAATATTACTGAAATAAAACTTATTTACATAAATATGACTATTCATTACTACAACGTAGTGCTGTGGTAACTAAAGTTCAAAACTTGAACATGAATTACTATGATTTCATTACTACTCTAGTAATGAATCATATTTTTGTAAACCATCTTTATCTTGGTCATATTTATGTAATTATTTCTATAACTAATGAGTAGCAAGTTCTTATTTAACTAATACGAAGTATTCATTCATTGTAATATTTATTGTATTTACTTATATTTTATGTCACTCACTTATTGTACTCACCTTTTTAGAATAGTATTTAATTTTAAATTAATTAATCATGAAAATTAATAAGGTGCAAATTCTAATGAGTGTTGTCAATTAAGTTTTCCTAATATACTCTTCATTGAATATTTATTGAATGAGTTTATACTTTATGATATTAGCTTATTGTACTCTTATTTTTCGAAAATGTTGAATCTTACAAAGTTATTTTTATTTTATTATTTAATTAGATCATGAGTAAAAATATATGCACCAACTGCCGTGTCCCGTACGTATGCATGGGTACTATACTAGTGGAAAAATGAAAAGAGCTCTTTACAAGATAAAAATGACAACATCTACTACATGTCCTCTGGAACTGCTTCAATGGGAAGAAATACATTCTGATGATAGTGGATGACTACTCAAGATACACGTGGATCCACTTCTTACGCACTAAAGACGAGTAGGCTGCAGACATCATCATCACCTTCATTCGATCTACACAGAATCTACTCCAGACAATCATTCTATTCATCCGTTCTGACAATGGCACCGAGTTCAAGAATCATAAGCTCAGTGAGTTCTACGAACTACAAAAAATCATTTAGCAATTCTCTGCAGCAAAGACCCCACAACATAATGGTGTAGTTGTGTTAGGTCCCCTAAATTTTTGGTCGGTTCGGGTATCGGTTTTCGGTTTTATCACTTTTGTCGGTTATTTGCTCACCCCTAAGAGGAACTAGCCAGAGAACTAGAACGAAAGCAATTCCTAAAACTATTACAAGACTTTTCAACAAAATTAAAGATTTTAGAAATCTTCTTGGATTGCTCAAGTCTTGTCTCCTTACTAGTAGCATTCTTCGGAATCCAGGTCATCCTTCCTGCATGATGATTACAAAAAGATTTACTTGTATTGGGAGTTGGAGAAGAAGATGAGTCCCTTTTCTTATAAAAATGATTTTTCTTTCTATTCTTTTCATAAAGGGACTTAACAAGCTCATCGAGCCTTCAGAGAATTTACTAGTTAGTTTAGAAATTTTCTTTAAAAGATTTTCGTTTTCAGTTTTAAACTTTTTTCATTCTTCTTCAAAAGAAGAATGGACATTAGCCATTTTCTTGATTATCGCAGGACAATATGGTTCAAAAACCTTCGAGGTAGATGCTTCCTCCTCATTGGACATGGTTTGATTTTTAGGAGGGAGGGGGGCAAAATAGTCATCAGACAGAGGAGTTTGTCTAGTAGCATAACTATTATTTAGAACAGTATAATCAAAACTAATTTCAGCTTTAGCTCTATTTTTCCTTTTGTCCTCTTCTTCCTCAATAGTTTCAGACGCACAAGTGAAGTGCATTAAATTGGCTAATCCGAACCACATATATCTTATATTAGGCATTAAATTGGCTAATCCGAACCACATATATCTTATATCATAAAATGTTTGCAATTAACTTTCTTTAAGTTACTTGAGTTTTGACAGTCTAGTCCTTCCCTAAGATCATAAAATTCAGTGTCCTTTGACTTATTATTTAACAGAAAAACAGTCTGTTCAGATTGTCCTCACTTAGAAAGAATATCCCTGGCTCCTTGTTTTAGAATAAAGTCGACTCCGTTCCTTATTAAGTTCTTCAAAACATTTAATATAGCTCCGGAACGTTTTCGCTTATTTTCATCTGTATCCTCAACTAATTCACAAACAGTTTTCTTAAGTTTAGCTACTTCAGAATCTAAGCTAGTGACTTTATTTTAAGCGCATACTAGGAAGTCCTTCTTGTTCTAAATGTCTTTCCAGACATCTTTGATTATTAGCAAGTCTGTCTTCAAGTTCCTTTATTTTATTTATATCTCTTGTTTCAAAGAGGAAATTTGCTCATTAATTATAGTGCATTTCTTGTTAATTAAAGAATGTAGATTACTTACCCCATTCTCGGTAGATGGAGAAACAATATTTTCCTCAGAGCAATCACTATCACTTTCAGCACCAGCAAGTCGGGCCATCAGTGCCAAATTCTCTAGCTCGCTATCTTCAGAATCTTCCCGTAGTGGTCATGTTTAGCCATCAAAACAACTCATTGCTCCTTCTTCTTAGCAAGCCGTGCCATTTGCATGTAATAGTTAAAGTTTTTCTTCTTTGCAGATCTGCCCTCCTTGGCAAAGCGACCAGGCTTGCCGCACTTGAAGCACTTCAAATGATCTCCACTTATGGCTTTATCAGAAGGTCCACTGACTTTGTCTGAGTAATTAAAAGAAGAAGTTCTCTGTTTGTTGGATGATGATGGAGTTCTGAACTTTGTGAACTTCTTATTCATCTTTTTTGTAAGATTTGTCAGCAAAGCAAGTTCTTTCTTCAGCTCATTGATCTTTGGATCAGAATCAGACTGTTTTTTTCTCTTCATCAGATGAATCAATTTCAAGAGTAATTTTAGGCGCGTTTTCTCTTTTCTCCCTTTCAGTAGATAGAAGAGAAATATAATCAACAATGTTCTTTTCTTTTGAAGTTTTTACCTTTTCAATGTCCTCTTCTTGCCCATAGTGTAAGAGAAGAAGTTGGGTGCAGATTTCGGAGGTTGATTTTGTTCTGTAGAAAAAGGAGGCTCGAGATTTAAAATTCGGATGAAGATTTCGAATGATGATCTCGGTTGGCTTCGAAATTGTGGAACTCGGGCAATCTACGAAGTGCAGACTTCGGGTGAGCTTTCGAGATTTTGATTTCGAGTGCACAAGTGAAATCTTAGGATGTTTTCTTTGGGACTGAAATTTGCTAGCCTGAACTGGTTTGGTCTGGTAAATGTTTGGTCTCCGTGTATTTTATAACTATGGAAGTCTGGTCTGGGACTGAAAACAGTCCAAAAGAAAACATCCTTAATTTCGGGTGAGGGGAATTGCCAAACACGGTTGCAAGAAATTGTGAGATGCTCGAATTCTTCTGAGTGTACCGAAATACTAGATTTCGGGCATGCGAACAAATTGTAATTCGAGCAGTCGTAACACAAGAAAATTCGTATACTTCCAAGAATAAATCCAGAAAAAATTCAACCAAAACTTGTGATTTTGATCAAATCATTCATTCAAAAATTCTCAAAAGATCGTCGAAAAGTATGCGCCTTTGCTCTGGTACCAATTGTCAATGCCCAGATCAACAGTCGAATAACATCTAAATAATAATATGGAGAAATTGTGCAAAAGAAGAATAATCAATCAACATTCAATACCGCATATCCATAATGATTTAGCAAAAAATACATGAAATACGTATGAATAGTTGAGAGAGAAAAATTAAAGTGAGAGCTCTAGAATGATACATGCGGAGTAATATTGTGAATTCCTTAGGCATGTTCGAACCCCTCTATTTTTATTTATAGAAGTGAGAGTGGAACATCCTATTACAATTTAGGACACTTCACAGTTCACACGCATGAACTATTAAATCAAAAAGTTCACTTCTCTCTCTCTCGAAAACTATTACTACAACAACAACATCCAAGCCTTAGTCCCAAAAGATATTGAGGTCGGCTAACATGAATCGATACATGATATCACCACCAAAAGGAAAAGAAAGAAAATAAAGATTAAAAAAATAAGCTAATATAAAAAGATAATGTAAAACGAGATGAGTATACCTAAAAATGATAAAATAAAAAGGACAAAAATAAAAAGGACAAAAATAATGTTTATACATATAAGGATAAAAGAATAAAATAACAAGAAGAAGAAGAAAATGAGGGGAAAAAAATACGAGATCACTCCTCCACTCGAATACCCGCCCTCCACCTTGCTCTCTCCAAAGTCATACCCTCATCCAACCCAAGAAGAAGCATATCACTTCGAACTCCCCTGACTCACGTCTGTTTGAGTCTTCCTCTCTCTCTCTCTTCCCTACCTCTTCTCCACACATCTCAACACGTCTGACAGGTGCATCACTCGATCTTCTACGCACATGACCAAACCACCGTAGGCGAGACTCCCGCATCTTGTCTTCAATAGGTGCTACTCCCACTCTTTAACAACAATGGTACAATGTGCACGGTGCACACGTGACATTAGAGATGACCACATAAATATTAGTAAATAAATTCTCTCTCTTTATTTGAATGATTTTATAAAGTTTTGGTAAGTTTTTCTCAACAATGTCAAGGAAACCGTCTAAATGTTGACATTGTTGTTGACATTGCAAGGAAAAACTTACCAAAATTGTTTAAAATCATTCAAATAAGGAGAGAGACAACTGATTTACTAATATTTTTGTGCCTATTACTCATGTGACATGTGTATCTTCCACAATACATTGGAAATGCTCTCACATAACCCCCTCCCTCCCTCCCTCCCTCCATGGCCAATTTTTGGTGATCAAAGTCAAAACGCGTACTATATTATCTTTCGTCGTTCATTAAACTCAACTACAATAGAAACATCGAAAGACTGCATTTCTCATTTTCCTGCTCCCCTTCTTTATATTTATCTGTATCTCTGCATCGCTTCTTTGTTCATATATATACGCTCGGCCGGCTCAGCTAAGAGATTCTCCCTTCCCCGACTGCTATGGAAGCGGCGAAGGTCGAGGAGCTCACATCCGGTGCCAGCGGCCGCATAATTCCGGTCTTCAAAAACTTACGCCGTTCAGTCTTCTCTTACGACGCCTTCCGCCGCTCGATCATTTACCTCCGTTCGATTTTCGTATGGATCCTCCTCCTCCTATTCCGCTACCGCATATCCCCTTCTTCTCCTCCTCCGTCCCCCTCCACCCCTGCTGCAGGTTTGAAACGGCGTAAGTTCACGCTTCGGAGGGACGAGGAGGATACTCTCCGGCGTAGATCCCTCGCCGAATCATTGGAGATGGTTCCGAGGGATGGGGATGCAGTGGGAAGCGTCCCGTGCGAGTGGAGTACGTTTTTATTCCCTGGAACACGACGCAACACCTTATTTTGCCGCTCTTGGTTCCCGGAATCTGGTGAATTGAAGTATATGTCTGTCTAATTAATTTCTTTTTACTAGATATATGATTTCTCCCCTTTTAGTATGATAGAAGTTGCTCAACTTTGCTTCCATCGACTAACAAAAATTATATGCTTCTTTGTTTTTAATTTTTCCAAAGATGATGCTTTTCGTTTTTTCAAGCTTCTTAACCATACAAATTCTTTTTGTATACGTATCTATGCATTGAAATGATCGTTTTTGTGGATTAATGTTGTTATTACTCCTTTAACTGTTGCTCTATTGCGAACTGTTCTATTTGGCCCCTTGGGATTTTCATCTGACCTCTGTTTGCATGGTCGACAATCATTAATCTGACATAGGGCATTTTTGTTTCGTGAGCATGGTTGGTTGAGCCAATAAACTGTACCGTTGAGCATAGAGACATGTAATGATGTTCATACAGAGATCTCTTCTGGATGCAGGAAATTTGGTGGTTTATTGTTTGATTGTTTGCTTGATACTAATGAGGAGACGGAAAGACTTTAGCTTTATTGTAGCGGTACTTGTATTTTTCAGATGACTCTTTCTGCATTTAGGTATTTTAGCATTAGAATTTTCTTGGCCTTGGTATATGTTATCACATTAAAAACTGATATAGAAGTTGAGGAGGAAGTTAGTGCTAAAAAGGTTATTCCCTTGGGATTGAATAATATGGTTTCTAATTATATTGAGTAGTCATGATCTGGTTCATGGAATCATGGGTTCATTAGTGCAGTGTAACTTCTTCAAACTGCCTAAGTATATGGGGTTATCTTTGAACACATATATGTATTTTGCCTGCAGTTTTGTCTATCTTCTTGAGTGTCATGAAAAAAACAGCACACTAATAAATTCTAGAAGTGTGTGCTGTACAAAGAGTTAGCTCAAACTTCTACTGTTTCTTATTGAGCTCATGTCAGTTGTCACTGAGCATTACATTATTCACATGCTTTATGTGTGTGCATGTGGCACACCTCCCCAGTGCCTGAAGCCGCTGTTTAGGTAAGAAGGACATAGAGAAGAAAGAAATGACAGAAAGAGAGAGTGACTAGTGAAATAGATAGATTTTATGTATTGTTTGGTAGGAGAGAAGTATGAGAAATAGTGGAAATGAAAAAAATTATATGAGTGCAAAGCTTTACATAGTCAAAATGTTGCACAGGGGGTATTAATGAAAAAGGTAGATAACAATCTATACTCTTGCCTATCTTTACAAATCGGCAAGGTAACAGTTTGATGGGGTCTAATCGCCCTCTGATATCATTCTTCTGTATTTTTCTACTACCACAGGATAGATACTCTAATTATTTTCAACTTCTCACTTCTCCTTAAATTATCTGTACCAAATAGAAGCTAGTTGTTACAGTTTTGTTTTGAAAGGAAAATTTCACAACCAGAAGTTTGGAATTGAGTTCTGTCCTTTCTAGCTTCATTTGATTGTCTGGTCAGTTTCTGACTGCAATTTTGCACCCAGAACACCTTCTGTGTTCATGCTTGCTTTTGTTTTATTATCTTCTTTGGGGGGGGGGTCTGTTCTTTGAGATGTCTTAAACCTTAACAATTTAGCATTTGAATGTGATATTCGGTCTGATTAAATTGCAAAACCTGCATGAAAACGGATAACTAAAGGCTCACTGGTAAGGATAACTGAGCATTTTAGTAGCACCTTTAGTAAGGATATACAGGCTCACTGGTACTGCCAATATCATATTGAATCTGTTATATACTTATATGCATAGTAGAAATTTATATGGGTGTTTAATGTTCTTGTTTCGTTTAATCTCTCTACTTCTTCACCAGTTTTTTTCTTTATTTCAGGGGAATTCTGATTGTCATTCATGGCCTAAATGAGCATGGGTAACTCAGTTCTTCACTTAATTGTTTTCTGTTGTAATACCCAATTCACCCCATTGAGCCATTCTTAATGCTTTGTTCTTGTGGTTTCACCAAGAGTACATTGAATATTGCATTTATTCTGAGTAGTTCCCAACCATCAATCCATACCTTTCCTTCATTTTGAATATAACTTGGATGGCTTCTAATCTTGTGATTCAATGCTGCATTTTCATTTTCAGTGGCCGGTATGCCCAATTTGCTAGGCAACTGAATTCCTACAACTATGGGGTTTATGCAATGGACTGGATCGGTATGATATTTTGCCTGAGCGTTTAGTTATCCGTTTTCATAAGCCTCACTGTTACCATACCATCTAAAGTGCTTGCAAGACTGAAAGTTGTTTGCATGCGCTTTGACATTATTTTGTGTGATTTGGCTTGTGTTTAGTGGTGTAGAAACTATTGTCTGGTTTAGTGTGAGCTTCTTTTCTCTTACATATTTCAAGAAAGAATATTACTCCTTCCTTCCCCAAAAAATACCATGTTTTAATTTGTTTCGTCCCAAGATGAAGAGTCCAGCTTTTAGTCCACATTTATTTTTAAGTAAAACCCCTGCAGAGACAAGCAGTGAGTGGATTTGCTAGTGGACTATAAGTGCATTTGAGTTGGCACGGGTTTTAAGAAAATCAAGTCGATAGTTAATCGAAAATTATGACCTCCAAGAATAGAAAGAAAAAGTAGTGCGGGGCCACAAAAATTAGAATGTGGGAAGGTAGATAAAAGGATAAAGTGGGAAAAGAAAAAGTTATTAGAATTCAGATTCGTGAAGTGTTCATATTTATGGGACAAATAGAGTAATACGGAGTAAATGTTTTAATGCTGAGTTTCAAATACATGGCTGATGGATCCAAAGATATGCAGTTTTTTCCTTATATATGTAGCACAACGTTTTTAGATCTGTCCGTGGGTTTAGTGCTTCATTGGACTTGTTTGCATGATCATTATATTCTATGTCGGATATCCTGGATACTGTATTTCCAGTCCTGTATTGATTTAAGTTTAATGTCGAATTGGTTAAATAATTTTTAATGGTGATAGTTCTTGGCACTCTGTGAGCTTCTCTTGTGAAGAAGTAATAAAATACCTATCACGTGAACAGGGCATGGTGGTAGTGATGGACTGCACGGTTATGTACCTTCCTTGGATAATGTGGTTAAAGATACAGTAAGTTTTTTCTCAATCCATTTATTTTTTATTTCCCGTTTGGTAAGAGTTGTATGGCTTGGTAAAGTGTTTGGTAATGCCTATTTAAGCCAAATTAGTTAGTCAAAAGCTACTACATATCCTGCTTATTCTGGTTATGCTGCTGGTAAGCAATGTATGCCAAAACTGGATACCACGGGAGCTATAGGCGTGTGGCAGACTGGGATCTGTAGCCAAGGGCCCAGGCAGGGAATGTGCGGAGCCAGGTGAATTATATCAGGGGTTAATTTAGTAATTAAATGTTGGCAGATGTAATATTTGAAAACAAATATAAAATTTTAAAACAAATTGCCATAGCAGTGTCCACTTCGTTTTTTTTAAATTTTATTTTGTAATTTGGTTCTGAACTTTCACTACGTGTCTATGTATATTTTTATCCTCTTTCTCCCTGTTGTAATTAAGTTGATCTTTGACTTGTCATGTTTAAAAGGGGGCATTTTTGGAAAAGGTCAAGCAGGAAAACCCCAGGGTACCCTGCTTTCTTTTTGGACATTCTACTGGAGGAGCTATTGTTCTAAAGGTGTGATTATCTTTAAAATATGTAGTCTGATGTACTCCTCTTTGACTTTTGATGCTCTTATTATTCACAATCTTTTGTTCTGCCTTCGTATAGGCTGCTTCTTACTCATTTATCGAAAAGATGTTGGAGGGACTAATATTGACATCCCCAGCTTTGCGTGTGAAGCCAGCAAATCCTATTGTTGGTGTAAGTCTTCCTTCCCTTTTTCCCTTACACACATATAAATATAGGGGAGGATTAAAGTTGAAAGTAGTCCTCCCATGAAAAAATTAGAATAAATCTTGGCCTTTAATCACTTGAGAGTGGATGGATTAGAAGAATTTCTAATCAAAAGAGACCGCGTCAAAATAATGTGCAAATGTCTATATTACAAAGCGAGTCATTTATAGATAAAAGTGCACTCATGTGTTTTGAAAAAGATTTTCTATTTCTGTAACATATACTCCATATATACTTGGATAATTCACTTTACCTAGCCATTTTGTCATCTAAGCATTGCGCTCTCCAAATTTGACCTCTCTTCCGTTAACATGCCAACCCCCAGAGTCACCTTCACAGTTGGCACTATTAATTCACATGCAGGCTGTTGCACCATTTTTTTCATTAATTGCGCCGAGATACCAGTTCAAGGGGTCCCATAAAAGGGGAATACCGGTTTCAAGAGACCCAGCAGCACTCGTGGCGAAGTACTCTGACCCCTTGGTTTATACAGGGCCATTGAGGATCCGAACGGGGCATGAGATTCTGCGTATCACCTCATACCTGATGCGCAACTTGAAGTCTGTCAGAGTGCCTTTCTTTGTGCTTCACGGGACAGCTGATCGGGTCACGGATCCATTGGCTTCTCAGGATTTGTACAACGAGTCTCCTTCTCCATTCAAAGACATTAAACTCTATGAAGGTTTTCTACACGACCTTTTGTTTGAGCCTGAGCATGAAGAGATTGCCCAGGACATAATCAATTGGATGGACAAGAAACTGAAGTCAAAGAAGCTGTGTTAAATCTTTCTTTATATATACATAATATACTAGCCAACAAGGTTTTGGGCGTGAATGTCTCTACTGAGGTTCCGTGTTTCATTTATTTATTTGACTGCATTCATGGATGGAGTCATGTATATTCATATTATTTGGTAAAAGGATATGTGGAGAATGGGTTGGATCTGATATGAATTATGAACACACTGACACACTTCAAGATAATGAGTGGTCACACATCCTCACTTCTAAGAATAATACAGTACTACTTATAATTTTGTCAAATTATATTATATTATATTGTGGGTCTTTCATTGTCCCGAGCTTAAATGTATTAGATGATCTGCTTAGGGGTGGACCGGTTCCGGTTCGGGCCCGGTTCGGGCCTGGGCCCGGCCGGGCCTCGGTTCAGAAAAATGAGGCCCGAGCCCGAACCGGTGGTGGGCGGTTCCGGGCCACCCGGTTTTTTTTTTTCTTCTTCTCTTATTTAACCCCTACCCCTCCCTCTCCACCCCAAACCACCCCAAACCACCTCAAATGGCCCAAAATACTTAATCCAACCCAAAACTTAAAAAAATTTCCAAAAAAAAAAAAATTAAATTTTGGCCCGAACAGGGCCCGGCCGGGCCGGTTCACTAAACTGGAGGCCCAGGCCCGGACCGCTTTACCACCGGGCCGGGAGGCCCGAACCGGGCACGAACCGGTTCACCGGGCCGGTCCAGGCCCGCACAGTAGCGGGCCGGTCCGGTTCCAGGCCGGTTGGCCCGGCCCGAGTCCATCCCTAGATCTGCTCGTGTCTTTTCTGTATTGTTGATGATTGTTTGTGAGGATGAACATAGGCGGACTCACTATGCTTGATCCGTTTTGCCTATTCACTGTGTATTGGATAAATGATATGTATACTCGTACGTTATGCCGTATACATGAATCAAATGTTTACAGTTACGGCATGGTTGATTTGCTGTTATGTTTTGGGGTTTTAGCGGAAAGTACAACCCATATGAGAAAGAGAAATAGCAGAAGGCTTGCCCGGATGAAGGAAGCCCTATTTATAAGGAGAGAGTCAGAGAGTGGTGTCGTATAACTGCCGGGAAATTGTGACCGATAGGGCTGCACAAGAATAACCCGAACCTGCATAACCTGTCCGACCCAACCCTACCCGACCCTATTTAATCGGGTATTTGATTTTTAAAAATATTCATGAGTTAATTATGTTTGAACCCGCATCTAATGGGTAGAGTTGCGGAATTAAAGTCTCAAACCCGATAGTACCCGACCCGGCCAAAGTTCATTTTACTATTATTATGCTACAACGTTTTGTTGGAAAATTTCAAATTAAGAGCAATGTGCTTTATCTAGTACTTTATGATATTAAAATTATAATTAAATATTTATCATTTTGACTAGGTGATTATTATACATTTACGTTTCCTTCTAAATGAACTTCCTTTACGGAAGGATGTTTTTTTAACACTATTACATAATGGTTTTGCTTATAAAAGATACCAGTACTTGTATTTGTTTGTGTGTTTTGGAAGCAAATTAATCGAGTTTTAAATTGGTTACACTAAATTCCCACGTGAAAGATGCAACTCGAAGTGATTTTTTCCCCAATACCCGACCCTACCCGACCTGTTCATGCATGGTTTACCAACATGTTTTGCGTACCGCGGGTTAGTTAATAGCCAACCCGAACAAATCGGGTAGGCCCAAAAAATATAGCAAACCCGACCCAACCCGCCCGATGTGCAGCTCTAGCGACTGAGACACTCGAGGGCAAAAGTTAGTATGACAACTTGGGAAGTTGTGCAGTTTCTGGGGCACATGTTGGTTCCATATAGGGTCGGGCTTCGGCATGGGACTGGGTCGGGCTTTGGGACGGGACTGGGCAGGCTTCGGGCTCAAGGATTTCAGCCCCGGTATCAGCCCGGGTTACCCGTATTGGCTCGGGCCGGGCTACCCCAGCCGGGCTTCGGTCCGGACCTGGGTCGGGTCGGGCCGTTTTTTTTTTAAAATTACTTGAACAAGTGCTACACATTACTTTTCAAAAAAAAGTGCTATACATTAAAACTGAAATGGATATTTATTTGAAATATGGAATTAAGAATTAAGAATAATTTAAAACATTAAATACTATTTCTAAAAATCAGTCAGAATCTTCGCCAACGTCGATTATTGAATTCTACGAGCAGTGCAAACTTCTTGAATTCTACGTCGGGCCTTCAACCAATTGTGGAAGCAAATGAGCGTCTCAAAAGATTGTGCGTTCAATCTGTTCTATAATCCGTTAGGACGTTGCCGCCTGCAATAAATTCTTGTTCCATGGCTACTGTTGACACGACATTGATAGCACTTGCTTTGCCATCTTCGATAAAATCGGGAACATTCCTTCTTTGTCCTTCCATCATTGAAGAACGTTAAAATCTTCCCCGTCTTCATACTCAACAGGAAACGTTAGTTATAAAGAAAGCTGGTTAGTTGAGCTTTGTGCAACAATGAAGTTCTTTTTTTTCCATAAGGTTACCAAATGTAGATTTGAAAAATGATTTTCCTTTGGGGTAATTTGAGTTTGCACCCCATATTATAGTTTAAATTGGACTTTACACCCCGTACCCAATATGAAAAGACAAAAATGCCTTCATTCAGGAATATGCTGAAGGTCAACAAAATTGTTAATGAAGGGACATTTTTGTCTTTTCATATGAGGTTGGAGTGCACAAACAAAGATTTTTAAAACGGAGTGTAAAGTCCAATTTAGACAATAATATGGGGTGGAAACTCAAATTACCCCTTTTCCTTTAGATGAAAAACTTGTTGGTTTTGGGGGAAGGGTCCGTTACCATAATGTGCATGAAACTCATGAAATAATTGATGAAATAAGTTACTTGATGTGAGTTTTCTCGCACTTAAAATAGATCGTAATATAGTGGTGTAAGTACGAGTATCGTCTCCATAGGGACGGACAAAAGGGAATCAAGAATTAATTAAATTCAGCGATTAAAAAGAAAATAAAATAAAAGCGTCGTGCGAGAATTGGTTGGTTTGGAAAATAAAACTAATGCGAACAATTAAACTAGGGGGTTCTTTCTAATTAATGACGAAGGGAACAGAGATCGATTCCGGGGTAACCAGATTTCTGGCAGATCAGGCCTAATTACATGAAATTAATTTAATTGAGCCTAGCTAATCATTACTAAGTTCTTACCGCTCTCGCGGCGTAGAGTACAATAATTTAGGGGACCAGGCTGATCTCTCATGCGACAAGATCCTAAATTATTGCCAAGACGAGCGAGCTTACGGCCCCTTAATCGCTACTAATCTCTTAGCGAACGATTAAGTGTGTGTGAATGTGTCCTGGAACAAATTAGATCTTTCTTAATTTATTCTACATGCAATTGTAATTCTAGTCGCGATTCTAGGTTTTAAAAGATATCAATTAAATTATTCAAACACAAATTAAACGGCATTCATGCAATTAAACCGAAAAGAATCTAGCCATACATCATGATTAACCCATTCATCAATCCCAAATCCCTAATTAAAACTACTCACAATTCATAATTGAAGAATCAATAGAATTGGAATAAAAAGAATTAATTGTCATTAATTAAAAAGGTGGAACTTACAAAGAATCCCAAAAGATTGATGAACAAGGCTGAAAAGCCCTCTAAAATTCGTGCTAGGCACTCTCTCTAAGCTCCCCCCTTTAAAACGGGGGTTTACAGGCTGTTTAAATAGAAAAATCGGGTGAAATTTGAGTTGAATTAGGATTTTCGGAGTCAGACACGATGTCAGGCACGATCGTGCCTCCGATCGTGCCTCCGGAGCAAAAACGCGCATTTTGGGCAGGCACGATCGTGCCTCCCTCCAGGCACGATCGTGCCTGGCAGGCAGTAACTTCGCGGTGGTTTTCTCTTCAGGCACGATCGTGTCTGACTTTGAGGGCACGATAGTGCCTACTTAACTTCCGAATTTGACAAAACTTCCTTCATGAAAGTTGTAGATAATGAAGTCCTCTATCCACCCCAATTTGCCGAATGTGATTTGAATCATCCAATCAAGAGATATGATCAAAACGGTGGAAGGTGTCTTTGTGAAATCGCAGCAGAGATCATCTGACTTCATCGTCTCTTTTCACCTTCTTCCTCTCAGATTCTCGCAAAGGTGTCTTCATATCATTTGTAGCTCTTGAAGTTAGCTTTCATATGGAACTTGAATCGTGTACATTGGATGTTTCTGCAAAGAGATATGCTTGAACGATTGACAGAAGGTCATCCTGATCGTCGTTTTCAAGCTTCATTCATCTTCTTTTGATCCCGAAGCCAATCCTAGAGCTCTTTTTCCTTCAAATCTTAATCGTGAATCTTCCGGTGACCTCCAAAGCTATCAAATCATTCTAAAATTCTTCTCAAATCATCCCGATTGTTCCTCAAGTGCCGGTGCCAGGCTCAAATTCCCTGATTTTGACTACAAACAACACAAAACTCGAACCAACGCCCGGTAATCATAACTTGAGCTAAAATTGAGACTTGCAACGCCTTAAAGCTAGGAAAACCATCAAAAGCCGATCTCAGCACGCATCAAATACGTGTCAAAATACGGACTTATCATTACTAAACCTCATTAGGGTTTAGGGTTTAGGGTTTAGGGTTTAGGGTTTAGGGTTTAGGATTTAGGGTTTAGGGTTTAGGGTTTAGGGTTTCCAATTCTCCAGCTGGACATCGATTGACCTGAGGCTTAGGGACCTCCACAGCGGGGATGCATTGACTCAAATTTGGGGTCTTCTGCAGGATGGCTTTCCATAGATCAACAACGTTTTGCAGTCCGAGGCCATTCTTCCTTGTCCTAGACGAGACAGTAGTCTCCAGACACCTCTCTCGCTCCACAACGTTGGGAGCCGAGGGAGTTGCGATCTGAGTCTGAGGTTTAAGATCCATTTGAGAAACGGATGAATGATTTATATTGGAGATGATCTAACTTGATACTATCTGAGCCTCTCAATGAGAGCCCCAAACAATGGGTTATGGAACTCGCGGATGGTGTAAATCTAGAGAGAAGTTAGAGCAATTCTAGAGTGAGAAAGTTGTATTTTAAATTTGACGGAATAACAATACAATGAATCTCATATCCTTTCCCCCCAAAGCAAAAGGTGCTATATATAGGCAAAATACAAGGCTTGCTCTAGGCCAATAAATGGCCCAACTTTAAACCCAGACCCGAACTAGACCAAGTTTTTTATAACGGATATGAGTACATTGTTTTTTTTAGTTTACCCAGTATAATGGGTACATGTGATTTCAACCAGTTAAGGACTCGTACCAGTTAGAAATTCAAATAAGGATACTATTCATACAAACACATACACACACATTTAGTGACTATTTTATACACACATGGCCCATCTCTTGTTATTTGAAAGAAAAATGGAAACTAATAGTTTCACCATTTACCGATCTTCTTATAATAATTTCATCTAACTGTGATATGAAAATAATCTCACTACTTTTGCATTCCATTTTCTTTCGTTGGTTATTGATCAGTTGATGAGCAACTCTTCCAGGTTATTTTCTTTTCTTTGCAAAACAATATATCACAAATCCCACCATTCACAAACCTTTTTGAAATAGTCTCACATATCACTTTTACTTTTTTCTCCCTAAAAGATTTCTCTCTAGGGAATTGAAACACCAGGAATTGAATAGACGAAGAAGATGAAGAGGAATAGATGATTGTAGAAGAAGATGAATTCTTTGCTTTTATTTTTAAGTTAATAAAATGGTAACGTATTAGGACTGGTACACTGTGTGCACAGTTTGGCGATCCCACGTTATAATTTGCGGGTAGCGACAGGTAGGCCAACCTTTAGAGGTACATATTTAGTGATTGATTCATTATTTGTTTATTGAATTATTCTTGAGGGTTTTTCTTTAAATATAATTGAAATAAATTTTATAGATAAAAATAGGATTAAAATTGTTATAAGTGTATCATCACGATAACTATAATGGAAAATTGAACATTAACATGATCACCTAAGCTACTATTATAATCGTTAAAATATAAAATGTCACATTTTTCTCCACTAACTAGTCCATATATTCCATGACAAGTTGTATGATGATTTCATTATTGCGTATGAATTATTTATTTGTCTTGGTATATTGTTGTTGGACGACGAGAATGGAGACAGGTGAGGTAATTTCGGATGCAGCGAGCATGTCCCCAATGGGCCCTAATTCTGGGATGTCATTCCACTCGCTCAGCCCCAACAGCTGGGGCAAATCATCTCTGTGTCTCCTTCCCACCAAGATAAGTTCAAAAGCCTCTTCCATGTCATGAATTGTGAGAGCAGTCTCTGCGCCGTCCTTTACCCTCTCTTCTCTGTAAACCACATTGTCCTGGTGCTGCCCCAGGAGCCGGGTTTCCTTCAATAGCTCCGCATCGAGAACCGCGTCCCACTGGGTGTCGGCCGCATCTGGGTCCCACGGCACGAACCGGACCACCGTGAGATGAACCGCCGCAGGCGACCTCGACATGCGCCGGCCGTAGGCCAAAGCCTCCCGGTCGTCGGCCCCTCCAAGGAAAATGACTGCCACTGATGCGGTCATACTCTTGGGCGTTGGCGTCATCATCTTGTGGCGGTCTATGAGAATGGCGACGGAGCAAGGGGCCATATCCAAGACGCAATTGTTCATGACCCTCAAGCTGTTGTTCTCCTGGACGAGCTTCCCTTGCTGGTTCCACTTGCGGTGGAAGGGGAGGACGATCATGGCTGCGAGCTTGTCGAATGCGAGGGAGCATATGTCGTGGTGCATGAACTTCTGCAGCGATATGGTCGTGAAGAACTGCACGCTGGTGGTCCCCGTCACATCCTGCTGTTCCAACCACCTAAGCACGTCGACCATTTTCTGGGACCGGGAGGAAGAGGAGGCGCCGCCGCTGTTCCTTTGCCCCAACTGGTGGTCAATCAGCAAAGGTGTGGCACGCCCCACCAGCTCCACCAAGAACAGCGAGTACACCGAGAGGGGGCTCTCTCGGGAAGAAGAGGAGAGTTGCAGCAACTTCCTCGCCGCCACAACGTCATCCAATCGCTGACCGCACACCAACATCCGGAGCTCGGAGTTGGGCGAGATGTGCTGGATGTCTCTTTTCTGGTAACCCGTGTACGTCCTCGTGTAATCATACAGCGAGGCGACGAGGATGTGGGAGGCGGCGGCCGTGATCATGACCCCCACCGTGAGCGTCGAAAATGTCTCCGCGTCGTAGGTTTGGTTGATGATGTTGTTGAGGTAAAAGGAGAGCTGCACCACTCCCTGGGTGCTGAGGATGAAGGCCAGGGAAGCGGCATCCTTGACGGGGACTTTGCACGCCACGGCCGGGGAGAAGATGGAGAGATACTTGACGGCGTAGCAGAGGAGGAGGGTGAGCCAGACGTAAAACACGAACTGGAGGTCGTACATGTCGACCAGGTTCACCTTGGTGCCGCAATAGGTGACCATGAGGGGGGCCAGGAGGCCGGACACGACGGTGTCCAACTTCTCCACCAGCGTGGACCCGAGCGGTGGCCCGTCCGGGACGGCCAGGCCCAGGATGAAGGGGCCGTATTGGAAGTTGAGGCCGGCGTTGTCGGTGAGAATGGAGGAGCAGAAGACCATGAAGGAGATGACGATGATGTAGACGGTGTCCACGGGCTTGCCCTCCGGGGTGCGCCTGATGATGGCCGAGGAGAGGGGGCGGACCGTGAGCACGAAGAGGCAGACGAGGGCGAGGGTGAGGATGAAGGCGTGGACGGAGAGGACGGGCATCGCGGCCATGGTGCCCATCTTGATGTTGGAGATGACGGTGGAGATGAGGTTGCTGAGCAGGTCGGTGATGAGGCCGGTGGCGAGCGCGAGGCGGCCCAGCTCGGAGTTCATGATCTTGAGGTCCACCAGGAGGAAGGCGATGACGGGGAAGGCGTAGATGCTCTGGATGCCCAGGATGCTCCCGAAAGCGGGCCACCGGTATCTGTGGATCTGGGGGTATTTCTGGATGATGTTTTCGCTGAAGCTGAGAAAGGCGGTGTAGGGGACGACGACGGCCACGGCCCCGATGGTCCACGCCTTCGAGCCTGTCCTGGATATCATTCCAGGGTCCATCTTCACTCCGCTGAGGAATATGAAGAAGATGTACCCGATTTTGGACAGTAAATCCACGTAGCCTTCTCCCTCTTTCCTGAGGATGAACATTTCTGTGATCCTGTACTTACCCAGCAGCGTTGGCCCCAGGATGATCCCTGCCAGGATCTCAGAGACGATGCGGGGCAAGCGGAAGCGCTTGAGGAGGAGATAGAGGGAGTGGGTGAGGGCGAAGATGACAGAGATCTGCAACAGGAGACGAGGGAGCGTGTAAGTGAAGAAGAAATATTGGTAGGTGTCGGAGCCGTCGCCCCATAGGCCCGGCGAATGCAACAGTATCTGCGCCTCGCAACGATCCTTTGTCATCCCTGGCACTTGCAGCTTCGGAGGCCAACCACCGCTTTCCGCCATCTCCACCAAGAATTGAATTGAATTGAATTGAAGACCCAGCGCAACAAAATACGTACTGATCTTCTCTGCCTCATATATGTAGGTACGTATATCATAAATCTATTCCCTTTTCTGATCTATATTAGCACGCATGCAGAGAGATTAGATGAGATCAATACCAGGCTATTGGTAGGATAGAGGCGGGATAACTTGGCTTGTCGAACAAATTCGCCAACACCAAGAATGAACCCAGCAATTCAAATGGACGGACTGTCATCTGCCATTGCCGGAAATAATTCCCAGCCACAAATGTTACTCAATGCCAGATAAGAACATTTGTGTCATTGAGTAACTTTCTAATGCCTATAACAAACAGAAAGTTACTCAAACCTCCCTCAAAACAATGAAACATTATCATCTTTGACTTTTCAGCTCCAATAATAATATTATTATTTTAATATATTAGTGCTCCCTTAAAACTTTGCTATTAATGAATTTTGGTCAATTATGTTCAACTTATATATATATATATATTATGTTTTTATAAGAAATTATTTATAATATTCAGATTATATGAAAATATTGTTTGTTAGAAGTACTTTCTCAAATTATAAAACTTATAACTTTCATAATATTATACTAATTAAAATTATGGTTTAAACTTTACCACCATTGACTTGAAAAGATAAAGATGAGAAAGTTTTAGGGACGGAGGTAGTATAATGTTACCAAGTTATACATTTTTTACTCTAATAAAAGTACTCTCTCCATCCAATAAAATTCGGGTTTGACTTGGATCAATGTTTAACAAAGTGGAAACAAAGTGAAAATTTATGGTTGTGGTTGAGTAAGGAAAATATAAATGAATGTTAGTCACACAAAACTTTCCAAAAAAGAAAATGAAAGATTTTTTTTGTACATCCCAAAAAGGCAAGTCAAACGAATTTTATGGAATGGAGGGAGTATCTTTTAGCAAAGAATATTTCCATATCATTTTTAATTTATATTATAAATAATGCCGTATCAAAGTTTAACTTGATTGACCAGACAAAATTCAAAGATGACAGTTCTTAGAGATGGAGAGATAAGTTTATAAATTTTATATCATCATTCATAGATATAAAAAAAGAAATTAATAATAAATCATATGTGTGTATATGAAAATACAATATTTGGGGAGTTTAGGTTCATGTGAAAATGTTTGGTACAAGTAGCTGAAAAGATACTTTCATGAGTTTTTTTTAGTATATGTTAGTTTTTGATGACTGAAAATATCTCAAAAGGAAAAGATGGTAGACTTTTGGTAAAAAGCCGATTGTTTGATTTAGTTCCGTTTGGTATACAAGTTGTTCAGACTAACTAATGCTAAAAGCTACAAACGTTTCTCAGATGCTACTCTTGGTGTCCGATGATGATTTATCCATAACAAAACGCTCAATAAATCTTGTACCTTATTTAGAAGCCTAATTTGGACAAACAGAGCTCACCGTTGAATCCGGAATGATCGAAAAAGGTAGGAACCGGTTTGACCTCATCCAAAACCGGCCTGGATGGAGTTGAACCGGGCTCCACAAATACGAACCGGTTTAATTTGGTCCGGTTCAGGCAGCAGCCTAGTGTGCATGATACGCTTGTAATTTCCGTGTGTATGTTTATATTTTTAACTAGTTTTGGTTGTTTGATATTTCAGAAATTACACACTTTTGGTGTAATAGTTATGTTTGTAATTTAGTTGTAATATGTTTAGATTAGGTCTATTCTGAGCTAAAGTAGGTGCAAGATCAATCAAATGATCTTTGATGAACCCAAAAGAGGAAGGAAGGTGCAAGAGCACAAGACAAAAAGAAGGAAATTCCTGATTTTGACCTATACCCGGTCGAGTATACCCTTTACTCGATCGAGTATCAACTTGATTTTCAATCAAATCGCTTCAGGAAACAAAGGGACGTGCAGGGAAAGATTTGGCCACGATCGATTGTCATACCCGATCGGATACACCGACACACCCGATCGGGTATGCCTTTTATTTCTACCCTGGAATCGATCGAGTATGCTTCGAATTAACATTTTTACACATACCTGATCGGGTACCCTATGTGTACTCGATCGGGTACCCGAGCTGCACTCCCAAAACGCCTATAAATACACCTCTTTCCCTTCACAATCAGATACCAATTCACATACTCTCTTAAGCTCAGTTTAGAATAGTATTTCTTTTAGTCTCCAAATGAGGAGCTAAACTCCCATTTCTTGGTGTTGCTCTTGAAGCTTGTTGATTATTAAAGTTGTGAGTTATTTTCTTAACTTCTTCCCTTGAATATTATTATTCTCTTAATCTATCTATATATTAATGTTGGGGAGTGTTGCTAAGATGACAATTAGTTCATCTCGATATTAGTTATAGTAGTATTTATTTTCTTCCTCTATATATTAATGTTGGGGAGTGTTGCTAAGATGACAATTAGATAACCTCTTGCCATTAGTTATAGTAGGATTACTCATATTTAATCTTCTTCCTTGAATATTAATTCTTCACTTAATCTCATTCTATATTATAGTTGGAGGGTTGCTAAGTGACGATTAGTTAACGTTCCAACATTAATTACTACTAGAAACGATCAACGAACCGATGGTTAATCGTTGATGGTTTCACAAGTAAGTAACTTCGGGTTATTAATGCACGGTCGTGGTTAATAAACTTAAGAGGGATTAATTTTGTTCGTTAAACCGAAACCGTAGTGTTGAGGTTATCAATTTGAATTGATTTCATCAAGGAGTTAAGAGATTAAATGCTACTATCAAGTCGGTATATGGCGGTGTTCTATACTTGACTAATAGTAAGGGTTATTAATGAATGGTCGTTGTTAATAACTACTCTCGATGAATTGGATATACTCATTGATTGATTATTCGAGAGGGGATAAGATATAGATATGACAATGATCGACTAAAATATATCAACAAGTGGAAAGTAGCAATGTCAAGTCCTTTTTATCTTTGAATTAAATCTCATATAAGTCGTTCATCTTCGTATTTAATTAAATTAAATCATTCAATCCCAAAACCACGAGAATACCCCTGGTCCCCCATCCACGAGAATATTTATAAAATTGGAGTATAACAAATTAACAACATCAAGGTACAATAGTTTTGATAATAAAGCACAATGGTGGTAAATTTTTAAGTTTTTTCTTATTTCACTCATATATATTTTGAGAAATTTCTTTCATTATTAACACTATATCACAAGCATCAGACATGTCGTTGTCAAGGACGGTGTGTGCCGTATTCGCCTATGTATTACTTATGTACATGCATGCGCGATTCCAATAATCCATTGTGATTCCAAATGAATATCGTCAATTGCACTTTTAACTTTGATCAAATCAAGCCAATATTAAATAAATGCATTGTCACTTTGATAAATATTTCGTTAATGTGAAAATGTGGACTAGGCGAGCTTCATTTGGATCGTATTGGGTCAAGTTTCTTCGCAAGCACTCTTTTTATTTGATTATCCAAAGATATACACATACATGCATACACACGTGTGCACATACACACATACGCACACACTTATATTAATGTTATTAAGTCATTAAATAATCAGGAGAAGAAGTTGATGCATAATCTTCGTCAATATGAAATCCCACTTCAACGATACATGGCCATGATGGATCTTCAGGTAATATCCCGGTCTCGCTAATTTAGGAATACTTATTGATAACATGATTGGGTACGATTTGTTAAAAATTAAACTTGTTTCTAGTTAATGTTTTGGGTCTCATTGATATGTATTTAAGTTATATTTGGAAAAGTGTAGAAGTAAGAGATTTTATAACATCTCTAGAAGGTAAGGTATCTAGAATTATCCTATCATTAACTATGTGTGATGCATTAATTATAGAATAGTTTAGATACTTTCTATCAGCGTAAATAGACATCTTCTACCACCACTCTGTATCAAGTAAAAATTGAGTAGTTCTAATAAAAGACATATCCCCTTTCGTTCAATCATATATTTCATTTTATTTCTAGTTTAGCCTCCTAGTTCCCCCAAGTACCTTCAAGTAAAAAGGAGAACTTTGACTAATAGTGCATTTGCATTTACATGGTAGATGAAGGCTTTGAGGAACCCGAGGACATCAAGACCATAAGAAAAGCTAAAAGGATACCTTAAAGAATATTAAAACGAGAGATAAAAAAAACTCTTTATCATTCACCAAGCTTTGAATAAAATTATGTTCGGGAAGGTAGCATGTGCAATTGCAAGCAAGGAAGCTTCGCAGATATTAGAGAATTGATTTCAAAGGAGTAGATAATAAAGTAAAGAAAGTAAGACTCCAAAGTTTTCGATTTATGTTTGGAGCTTCAAATATGAACTCTTCGAAATCCATTGATGGTTATTTCTCAAAAGTTCAAATCTTTGTTGATCAACTAAAAAGATATGGAGAAGGAAGTAAAGAAACTCAAGTGGTTGAAAAAGTTCTCCGGTCTTTATATTCAAATTTTGACTACATAGTTGTGGCAATAGAAGAATCTACCGATCTAGAAATTTCAAGAAGATAATAAAGAGAGAGCCATTGCAACAAGCTCTTCAAACTAAACTAAACTAAACTAAGCTTTTCAAATTTCAACAAGTTCTATGGTATTTATTGCCTAAGAAATAAAGAGACTTTTCAAGAGGGAGTACATCAAAGCTCAAGAGGAAGGGTGAGGGCGAAGTAAAATTTATGGAAGGGGCGGTTACAAGACTTTTAATAAAGAAGAGTGATACTCAGATTTCTGTGTCAAAAAGTTGTGGAAGATGAGGTTTTTCGAGACCAAGGAAGAATAAGAAAATTCAACATTTTTTGTGGACCATAAAAGAAGAGAAACTGAATGCGAGATGACTTGGTACATAGACACTAGAGTTAGAAACCACATGTGCGGGAAGAAGGATATGTTCGATAAGTGGAAATATTTATCTCGGAGATGAATTTAAAATTCCTGTGAAAGGAAAGGGTAAAGGCTTAATCTGATTGTAAAAGGAAAAAAATGATTTGATCTCAAATGTCTACCACGTAGCTAAAATGAAAACAAACATTTATAAGTTTGGGGCAACTTTTAGAAAAGAGTTTTAACAATCATATGAAAAAGCATACCCTATTGATCAGAGATAAAAATGGAATTTTGGTTGCTAAAGTTTTTTTTTAAAGAGAAAAAGATCTTTTTTTATTGATAAAAGGGAAAACAGTACAAAGTGAAAAGGAAAGAAAAACAGTACAAAAGGAAAAACAGAAGAAACATCGAAAAAATAACTAGTCCCATTGGAAGTCTCTGGATTGAGACCTTGTTCTCATGCTATACCGCCTTTTATTCTTTTGAGCTTTTCTATAAATTTTGATCTGCGTATTCAAGTTTTCAGTTGGCAAGCAGTTTTCCGTGGTGACAAACTTTGATTTATGGCAAATCGATCTGTTGAATTTGGAGTTTCCAATTTCATCCTTGTTTGAATAAGGAGGACGACGATCACTTTAAGTTGCATGTCCTAAAAAATCGTATGAGAAAAAAGAGTCATCAGAAGGATCAAATTTGTCTGATGCATCAGAGTAAGCCTGAAGAAGTGGAACTTGAGGTTGTTTCTGAAAAGAGATGAGTTGTTGCTTCTCGCCATAGGCTCTCTGGACTTCATAGTTAAAAATGAGTTTGGAAATGGTGATATCTTTAGTATCAGCCAATGTCTCGTACTCCCGATGCATGGCTTCCTCCTGCTCTAAATAAGATACTCCAACAAAATTAGAAAATAAAGCTAGAAAATCCTTGAGCATTGAGTTGCGCGGACCCTTCGGGATTAAAATTGAGCTACCCTTTTCTTTAGCAATCTTCAAATAAGAACCTGAATTGTTGACCACCGAAGTAATCGTGATAGGCCCGAATTTTCTGCTTTGCCCGTGATTAAATTTTTCTGGGCTAAAGGGTCAAATAGGTACATGAACTAACTTAAAGTGTTCAATTAGCCCCTTATATAGGAGGTTCTGCCCAGCCGTCGCCAATTGGGGCGGTTCCCAGTAGAATTTTTAGATGAAATTTTTTGAGAATCTTCTTCATTAAGTCTAGTTTATCCATACCAAATTTCAGCTAAAAAAATCAACCAGGAAGGCAGTCAAATGATTTTTTGAAGATAACTGCGCAGTTAAACAACGCAGTACATTTTGGAAAATCATTTGACTTCCTTCCCAATTTAATTTTTATCTGAAATTTGATATGGGTAAACTAGACTTAATGAAGAAGATGCTCAAAAAATTTCATCAAAAAATTCAGCCGGGAACCGCCCCAATTGGCGACGGCCGGGCAGAACCTCCTATATAAGGGGCTAATTGAACACTTTAAGTTAGTCCATGTACCTATTTGATCCTTTAGCCAATTTTTCTGAGCGTGTAAGATTGTGAATATAATGATAGATCTGTGGAGCAATCTCTGTTTTGAAATTAATCCTCTTTAGAGAGGAATTTTGAATTTCAAAAAAGTCTATTTCATTATTTCTGGCAGCCAGTCTAAAGAGTTTGGATTCAATTTTGATGGAGTCAAAACCCTCTTCTCCAAAAAAGTTGAATCTTTCCGAAAGCTCCCAAGAATCATCTGACGTGGCTTGAATAGGAGGAGTATTACGGCTGGTCTCATTGACCTTGGTCATTAAATGATTCTCTTTATCTTGAGAGTGTACGATGCGTCCAACAGAGGTGCTGACCTCACCTCTTCCACCGTCTCTTCTGTCCGATTCCAACCTAACAATTTCAGCCCATGTGAGGCTGCGTACAATGCCTGGCGTGTGAGTCTCCACGCCAAACTGGCCGTCCAAGGGAATCTCTGCTCCGAAAACCTCCGGCCAACTGTCTGGTCCGCCGTGAGGTGTTGGGGATGGTCGTTTATCAGAGCTAGTGATCTCTGTTCGACCATTACGCTGCGCACAAAAAACCATCGTCAAAACTGGAATAACGTGTGAGTCAGATTTATCCTTTTCGCCGGTCCCCTGTTCACTCTGCCCCGACGCTAAATACTGAGTAACGGCTTTATCCCTATCAGCCAATTCGGCCTGCGATGGAGATCTCGGGCTTTGCCTCTGGGATCCTCCAGCTTCCAGATCGATTGGAGTTCTGATTCGGGGTCGAGCGTGGCTCCCTGACCGGCGAAAATGTCTGGACGATACTGTAGCACATTTAAGGATTCCACGTGTGTCATTATCAAACAACCGTGGGCGTAGGTAAGGCCTTGTGAATGGAGGGGGTGGGTCGTGAAATCGTCTTCCTGAGCTAATAAGGAAAAACGATTGGACTTACTTGTTGAGCATCGGTTGCTCTTCGTAGTTCGTTGATTGAGATGGTGAGGGGGCCTTCAACGTCGACGTTTGTGATGGACGAAGCTCCAAGGTTCAGCAGGGGCGTGGATTTCCGATTGGAATGGACGGGTGAGTTCCGCCTTTTGATTTGGAATCGGGTGGGAGGGTTGATCCGGTCTATCCATATATGGGTACCATAGTTGACAGCAGCATTGTGCTTTTTGATAGGAGGGATGATTAGCAGGCCTTTGATCGTAACTGAGATGAGTGTTGGACGGATAACGTTGCGGACAGCGGACGTTCCCTTTTTGGTGTAACTTCTCGCATAGCTCGGTGGAGAGTGGCTTATGATATTGATCAAATCGATCAAATCTACCGTCAAGGGAATGAAAATATGGATTCCGGCAGTGTGAATATTGGTGCCGGTAATCCATTTCAGAAATCAGGTGCCTGGAATTTTAGAGATGTGGGAGTTTCTCTCTCATTTCCTTAATTACCAGTGCTGCATTTTGGTTGCTAAAGTATGAATGTAAAAAAAATAGAATGTTTTCATCAGAAATTGAAAATGGTAGTGCTAATTAAATATTTGAAAACATGTTTTTAAAAATTCATTTTGACTTTAGCACTTGAGGTTATGACATCTTATTTTTGAAAAAGCGAGCTAAAATTTAGCATAGAAACGTTTTTCAAAACAGACATCAGCAAGCTAGAGCAAAAAAAACGCTATAGCTTGTCCACATGTATATTTGTGGGCCCATTAATCCATGTTCTCTCGGACATTAAAATTTTGCTCTTTTGATTGATGATTTTAGTCGCAAACGTGGGACTATTTTCTAACACAAAACTTGACATTTTTGGAGCCTTCAAAATTCAGAGCTTGTAGAAAATGATAAGGAATTTAGAGGAATTTTATTTTTTGTGTAAAGAAAATAGTATTTACAGCCCCTTAACGAATATACTCCACAACAAAATGGAGATGTTGGAACAAAAAATCGGTTTCTACTTAATATGGTCTAAAGCATGATTAAAAGTAAAATACATTACAAAATATTTTCAGACCGAAGCCGTGGATTGTGAAATTTATCTATCAAATTGATCTCCTTCTCGAAGTATTAAGAACAAAACTCCAGAAAAAGCATGGAGTGGAAGAAGTTCCACTATTTCTCACTTGAATGTTTTTGGGAGTATCGCCTATGCTCATGTGCCGGAGGACATAATTAAGTGATAAGTTTATTTTTATTGGCTACAACGCAAGAGCAGAGGGGTACAAGTTATACAATCCAAGCAATGGAAAAGTCATGGTTAGTCGAGATATCGAGTTTCATGAAGAGAGCAATTGGCTAGTCATAAATATTTGGCTTGTTACGATGAGGAGGAGGAGTAAGAATTATCTCAAAAAGAGCCCACCAGTCCAATTCCACCGTCACCTGATAAAGAAGGATCCACAAGTGAAGACAACTTAAATGATCTAAAAATGATCTAACATTATTTTGTCTTCTTGCTGATTGTGAACCCATACATTTTGATGAAGAGGCTAATGAAAAGAATTAGAGAAAGACCATGGATGATGAAATAAAGTCCATCATAAAAATGATACTTGCGAATATGCCACCTTATCAAAAGGTGACAAAGCAATTGGTGCAAAATGAGTGTTTAAAGAACAGAAGAATGTCATGGGAAAAGTTGAAATGCATAAAGCAAGGTTGGTCGCATTATATATGATCGTTTACGGAACTGTAGCCACCAACCAAAGAGCTGACATCGACTATGAAGAGGTATTTGCTCTCGTAGCCCGCTGGAAACCGTAAGATTTTTAATTTCTTTTGCATGCTCAACATAAATGAATTTTTTATTAAATGGATGTGAAAACCACATGTTTAAATGGAAATCTTGAAAAAGAAGTATATTTAGAGCAACCACCGTGATATAAAATAAAAGGGCATGTAGATAAATTTTAAGATTGGAAAACGCACTTTATGATTTGAAGCAAGCCCCAAGAGCTTGGAATACTTGAATTGATAAGAACTTCCAGGTGAATAAATTTATAAAGTGTCTCCATGAACATGCTCTTTATGTTAAAAGGAAAAAATGGAGATATCGTGATTGTTTGCCTTAATATTGATGATTTAATATTACTAAGAAACAGTCGCAATTCATTTGTTAATTTGAAGAAGGCAATGGGTCAAGAATGCGAAATGATCGAAATGGGATTAATGTCTTATTATTTGGGAATTGAGGTGAACAAAGTTGTTGGGTTAATAGGCCCGAAATAGGAGTGGCCCATTATCCCTTAGCAAGAGAACCAACAAGGACCAACTTGGGAACAATCCAGCAAGGTGGGCCTGTCCGACGCTCGTCCTATTTACGGAGACGCTCGGCGCGTATCTCCTTGTCCAAATGGCATCAGCTGACGAACCAAGAGCCTTCGAGAGGGTGTCAGGCATGGATCGATCAGTGGGCCTGGCCTTAAGCTTACTGTGGCCCAAGTCTGGAGATAAGGGGGGCGCTCGTCTAGAGCCCTTGGCGAGAAATCAATATATTGGCGGGAAGCTAACCAGGTCACTCACAGTCCTTCACATCATCACTATCACCTACCCCTTGGTAGTATAAATATATAGTATGATTTATTTCATAGTTAGGGTTGACAATGTGTAGTCTCTAATAATAGCAACTGCTCCCTGCATTAGCTCAGATTAGACGAACAACTTAGTGGGTTGATAGTAGAGTGTACTGTAACACACCCTTATTATTGAGTAATAAGATACGGCCCACTTACTAGATATTTTATTTGCTCATCCATTTATTGCATGTGTCATACACTCTTCTCAGTCATCTAAAACATTCCATATGAAACCCAAAGGAAGGTGTTGGGCGTTTGGAGTTAAAGGAATAAACCTCAAGAAGGGTATGCAAATAATATTCTTGAGAAGTTTAAAATGGATTAATGTAATTCAATCTAAGTTTGGTGATAAAGTAATAGTGGAGCCCACAATGTCCAAGAGCTTAGTTGAGAACTTAATATACTTGACTTTTACAAGGTCTGACATTTTATATGGGGTATGTTGGTCCCATTAGTTGGTTTATGAAAGATCCAAGAACATTTCATTGGAAGGCCGCCAAGAAAATTTTTCGTTACATCAAGGTACTCATAACTATGGCTTGTTTTACAGTTCTTGCAAAGATCATATTTTAAACATGTTTGCTATAGTGATAATGATTGGGCTATAGATGTCAATGATCGTAAGAGTACTATTGGATTGGTCGTGCTTATGGGTGATTCGGCTTTTATTTGGAGTTCAAATAAGCAACTATTGTTACTCTATCTACATGTGAAGCTGAATACATAGACGTCACGTCATGCATGTGTTTGTCACACTATATGGATCCGAAATCTATTCAAAGCAATAGGTATGCCACAAAAAGAAGCTACACAGATATATGTGGGTAATAAGTCTGCAATAGCAATAGGAAAAGAGTCTAGTATTCTATACTGAAGCAATCACATCGATACGCGATATCACTACATTCAAGAGTGCATAGAAAAAATATATGTTGAATTAAAGTTCGTAAGATCCCAATATCAAATTGTTGACATTCTTACGAAGCCGTTAAGGCATGAAATTTTCAAAGATTGTGAACAATTCTCGAAGTCACAAAAAGTTTAAGGGGGTGTTGAAAATTAAACTTGTTTTTAGTTAATGCTTTGGGCCTCTAAATACTCCATATGTATTTAAGTGCTGTTTGGAAAGGACTATAGAATTCTCATATGATTAATTGTGGGACTCCAGAATGCTCATATGATTAATTGTGTAGAAGGGAAGGACTAAAACTTTCATTAATGGTGTAGGTGGCATGAATTGCAGAATAGTCTAGATATTTTCTTCTAGTACAAATAGAGATCTTGTACCACCACTTTGTATCAATGAGTTTTTGCACAATGCTCTAATAAAAGAGTTTTTGCACAAAGCTCTCTTCTATATTATTTCTAATTTAGCCTCCAAAGCTAGTTTCCTCAATCTTCCATCAAATATTTCCAACGGGTTTTATTAGAATTATTGTTATTATTATTATTATTATTATTATTATTATTATTATTATTATTATTATTATTATTATTATTATTATTATTATTATTATTATTATTATTATTATTATTATTATTATTATTATTATTATTATTATTATTATTATTATTATTAATATTATTATTATAATTATTATTATTATTATTATTATTATTATTATTATTATTATTATTATTATTATTATTATTATTATTATTTTAAGTTGTACTTTTTAGTCACTCTCGTGTGAAGTTTCCTTTGGAAGACATAGCTACATTATTAGTTCCAAATGGGTCTTTTTCATGTACTGTATGTTTGCCATATTGTAATGTATAGGTGTGCTATTGATAGCTAGTAGGACTCTTTCTATTTTGATGGTTGTCCATACACTATTGAAATATATAGTTGGCTCCTTGAGCCCTTTGCTATGGATAATACAAACTGAATTTGTCAAAGGACAAAAGTTATACTTCAGCATACTTTTATATTTTAACATGGTATCAGAGCCTTACATTTCTGTACCTTCCCTTTGAGCAATTTTATGTCTGTCAAATGGCTATTGATGAGGAAGACACTTCCTCTCCCAAAATAGATTACACATCTCCTTTCTTCATGAGACCTCAGGATAAACCCGAAGATTTTATTACATCAGTTGTCTTGCCAGAGATAATCACGAAGACCAATCAACTTCTATGCAACTTTCTCTTTGTGCTAGACGTGAATTTGGTATTGTCAACGGTGTCATCAGGGCACCCTCACCTCCTTGTACCGAAAAAGATTGGTTGACCATACACTCAATGTTGGTTTCATTGATTCTAAATACTATCTCGTCGGAGGTAAAATTACTCTTTCCAAATTTGATAATGCCAAACTTTTGTTAGATGATCTAAAAGAACGTTTCTTACTTGTTGATGGTCCAAAAACTCATCAAGTTTAAACTGAAACTCAAGGTTTCAGCATATTATGGAAAATTGAAGGTATTGTGGGATGAACTCAATAACTATGAACCTCTGATTAAATGTTCTTATGGTAAACGTACATTTAGTGTGACGTCCTTACATGAGCAACGTCAAGAATCAGATCGATTTCATCGATTTTTTATGGGATTCTCTTCGGATTTCTATGGACATGTTTGCTCTCAACTTCTCTCTCAAACACCCTAACCACACTTAGTCGAGCATTTGAAAAAAAAATATCAAGAAGAGAGAGTATGAGGTATCATTCAAAATAAGGATATGGAGGTCCGTCCTTAAACTATGGGGTTCGCTATTCATATGGATCCTTGCGGAAGAGCAAGAACAAAAAATAAAAATGATAAATCCCATTTATATTGCACTCACCGTAATACTCGAGGACATGAATTATCTCATTGCTTTGAGATTATTGGGTATCCTGATTGGAGGGGTCCACACCCCAAAAATAATTATCAACCTGTCAGGAGAGTTCTCACCAATGATCCACACATCGGACCAAGATTTCTGCCTGAACGTGTAGATGAGTCAGCAAGGAAGGCCATTTCTGC